TTGTGAAACAAATTCTCCTTGTCAGCACCTTAGGAATGGTGTAAAGAACAGTATAGAGAATATGCATACAGATGTAGGGTGTAAAGGGTTAAGGGAATTATAAACTCTGATAAATATATTTTATATTCATGTTCTGTATAGGTGCAAATGATCTTCAGTACACAGGCACAGTGTACATCTTTTTTGGAACCAAAGAAGAGGGACTCAATCCCCACCCAAGTGTTGCAATCTATGGCAATGGAACATATTACAATCTTGGTACATCTCTATTGGGGGCTGATATTGATGGGGATGGATTTAAGGACCTCATAATTGGGTCCCCTTATGCTCCTGAAGGAGGGCCCCAGAGAGGATCTGTTGCTGTATTTTTAGCCAAGACACATATACAACCTGGTTTGGATTTGTCTGTGCATAATGCAGACTGGATGGCTCTTGGTGAACAAAATTACAGTTGGTTTGGTTATTCAATGACTGTGACAAAGGAAAGTGGAAAGATAGTGTTACTTGTTGGTGCACCTACGTTCAGGTAAAATTTTGTTATCTAGTGAGCTGGTAATTAAACAAATAAATTATAGTTCTCCCAATAAATTAATGGTGAAAACCCCATTCAAATCCATAAAATTATAGAAAGTTGATAGTGCATAAATATGGGGTTAACTTGTGGTTGTCAGGTTTATTCAGAAAATTTCCAACATCCCTTTTACAATTCTTGCCCAAGAACTGAAAGTAGTGTCTACTTCAGGGCCAAAATGTTACTTTCTTTTACAATGAGTTATCATTTACATTTTATTAGTATTGATTGAACTCTCTATTATCTACTGTAGTTAACAGGTCATGATTGTAGAGAAGGTTTTTAGTTATTTATCACATGGTGAATGCATTGTTGGGGATCAAGGAGAATGCATCTTGGCTTTAAAAGGCACATCTACTTGTACACTGTATATGAAAGTTTCTTTGTAAAATTGAGCTTGCTTGCCAACAGCATGTTGTGATTGTTTTTGTTAACTGCTGACTGTTAAAAAAATCCATGTCAGTTTTCCAGTGTCAAGGTTAGAATTCTTTGATGTGATTGGCTAATTTGTGAAATCATGTGCACCCCACATGAATACAAAGAAAATACAAATGGGGAAAAGAAGAGAAGAATTGTAATTTGAAATTTAAAAATACAAAAAGATTTTCTACACAGACAGTTTTTTGCAGATTATGTGCCAATAAGGACTGCAGTTACTCTAAGGATGACATACAAAGTGTTGGCAGAGTGTATTTGTTCCATCCCAATCTATCACCCCAACCTATGGCAACAATAACAGGGCACAAGACTTTCATGAAGCTTGGAACCAGCCTCTCTGTAGGAAAACCTTACAACAACAGTGAAGACATCCTTGCAGTTTCTGCTGCAACTCTATGTAATCTATGTTCTTTTAAAAAATTGATTTAACCCTCCACCTGTTTATTCCCAGTGAAATACTAGACATCCTTTAATTAAATGTGAGTTATTTTATAACTGGGAGTTTAAGGGTTAATTTTTCTTATCAGTTATAAGCTTTGTATCAACTTTTCCCCACCATGAAATTTAATTGATTTTATATTTATCAGCAATAATATTCATTAAAATTTATTAATCATAAAATCTTTTGTTTGTAGCATTTGAAGGCCATTTGGTTGATGTGGAGGATATGCCAGTTTCTTTTACCCAATCAGGTGCCATCTACCTGGTAAACTCTACAAAAGTTCTGCAAAGTGGAAGTGATATCTCTCTTAATGATTTGCAATATACTGCCATTTTTGAAGGTGATCGCAGCTATGGCAGATTTGGTTGGAGTTTGGATTTCACTGATGTGAACCATGATGGTATCACAGACTTGGTTTTCTCTGCACCATTCAGAACAGAAGATATTACTGAAGAGTTGAAAGGAGGTTTGTGATTAAAACTTTTTCTTCCTGGTGAAAATTAACTTAAGGTACTTCACTCTAACTTGTTATTCTGGCTCAGATAGTGATCTCATTTAAGGTATTCCCCTTTCTGTCTGCCATGCAATTTATGGGATGTTGGTTCTGAGAATTTGGAATGGAATCAGCTAATAACCTACAAATTGATAGTGTACTTTAATTCTTATTATTTTTCTGCCTGATATCTAATTGATATTACTGGCATAAGGAGAAATTCTACCTGGTCACCCAAGGAAGCTAAAGAGTTAAGAGATGAAACTGACCCTATTATAAGTCCTTGTTTATATTGAACTAGATACATAAATAATCTCTGAGTCAAATTATCTTTTTTTAATTTTCAAGGAATCCTCAACACATGTACTCTTGACTAACATGTTTGGTATAATGTTCATAATAAAGCTAACCAAGAAAAAAGCAAAACAACACAACATAAACAAGTGAAGATAAAAGCTCATGGTGTTTCCCTAATTTCTTTTTTTTTTAGCTGAGGAAGGAGGGCTGTATGTTTTTTATGGTGGAACATCTTTTCCATTGGGGAATGCCACAAGAGGATGTAAAGAAGTGGAACCCTGTCCTGGAGAAAAGGTAATATCAACTTCTTGTGGTGTGTCTCCAATTTACTTTGAATTCAACTACCCTTCAATCCTCCTAGGTATTCAATTATAATTCAATTTGAACAGCACATGAAAGTCTTTACTTTGATAGGCAACATATGATTGGATTTACTACACCCGTAATAGTTGTAAAAATTACCAGATATTTAACAAGATGTTAAAAATGTTCTTTTTCCAGGCATCTAATGTGATGAAAAGCAGTGAGGTAAAGTATTAATAATCATTATTATGATGATGTACATATGCTATATTAAGTGTCCTGCCTCTCCATATCAGCCCCTTCCCACTGTTCTCAAGGTGACAGTTTTGGGTCAGGGTTTACAAAATATAAAAAAATGTAAGTACTAAAAATATTACAAAATGCAGCAAAAATATTACTACTGGTTAGTAGTAATAGAATTTTGAAATTCAACAGGTATAACTTCAGTGTATTGCAGTTGTAAATGTTTTACCCAGCTCAGTGATCTTGTTGATGTTTTTTTTTTCTTAACAAAAATATCATCTATAACCCACAGGAGAGGTCTCGCATGGGAACAACATTCCTGAATATCCCCAATGCAAGGTCATCTGGTTCAATCCTAATTGTCTCATCACCTCGCAGCTCATACAAAGCTTTTCATTCAGGTTCTGTTCATGTTGTTCAACATGCCTCTCAAATGGCTGTTGTCTGACGAAGATGAATGTAAAGTAACTGATAATGAAAATCACCTTTATAATAAGATAATTTGTTTTTATCAGCTGAACTAATAATATAAATGGGTCACTGCAAAAGGTCTCTAAAGCTGATCTCTCAAGTGTTAGCCCTTGGTCAGAGCTAATTAGCCAGGGTAGCAGTTTATTTTCTTTCCTTTATGCCAAGCTAAGAATGCCAAGGTGTGGTGTGAGTGATAGGAAGACATGATGTAAAAGGGAGCAAATGCACTCATCCTGTGATTTTTTGCTTCGTTTTACCCTTAGCTCAAGTTATGACTCACTAGCTCTTGGCTGAAAGGAAACAGGAAAAATTATTTTTATTAATTTTAGATGCTTTTTTTGTTAACTTTATTTCCCTAGAATGATTGAGTGGGAAGCAAATACAAGAAAAGAATATTAAATAGTTTAAATATTAGTTTTTTTTAATACAAAAAAATCACCAGTAGGTCATGAAAAATAATCCCAAGTGGGGTGTAATATAGATTTGGACCAACAAACTTAACCAATTACTTTTAGGTACTAGTACCATATTTTTATTTTTCTGTTTACAAATCAAGATTTTACTCTTTCTGTGCCTTCTTTATCCATAAATTTGCATCATTTCTGATGCAAGCTTCAGTCACGGAGTCTCTCTGCTAACTTTCACTGAATGAACCAGCAGAATGTAGTAAAAATGTGTTGAATTTTAGCAGTGAAACTTTTTCGAATCAAAGCCATTACTGAGCTTTATGAGAGATGGACTAAAGGTAGTTATCCCCTTTAGTCCAACTCAAGTGAGTTTGTGGCTTCGGGAACTTTTTGTAATTAGATAAATTATTGTAGTTGCCTATAATTGTGAGTACTCATCTTTCAAATAAATTTTTACATCAAAACCCAAATGAATTAAGTATCAAAGGCATTGCTATTTAATATTGTCAATGCAAAGATCTACTGTGTCTCCATGTTCACCTGGTAGCCAAACCCTCTAACTCCCTAAAAGTGAGAAGCATCTAATTTCTCCCAACAGTGTTATCCTTGAATCTTACTTTAAGGTCATGAGAATGAAGGAAATGATCGTGAACTCAAAAAACTCTTGATTGTTTACAAATACTCCTTTTAAGTACCTCAGGAAATGCACACAGGTTAGAATGGAAAATTAGGCTCTAAACCCTTTCCTGACCAACAGTGCCATATGGTACTCATGTGTACCACCCCATAAATTTCCATTTGTGCCATATGGCACTTCACAATGGTCAGTTCTAACCAATACAAGATACTTATTTTTAGTGTTTCTTCTGGCCTATTGTGTTTTAACCAATAAGGTGAGATTAGTGGCTTAGTTCAAGCTAACTTTCAGGGGAGGTATTCATATGAATTTACTGAGATATTGTGAGTTGAAGATATTGGAAGTTGTGTCTGTAGTTTTGGTAGTGGCTGTGCTTTTCGATTCAGATAGCAAAGAAGAGTTTACTGGCTTCAATATAGAACCGCGCTTTCAGAGAACTAATCACAAGTTGGGATCAAATCACACCAAGGATGGCAAGAATTACAATGGAGAGTTACTTACCTTGTATTGTTGCATTATTTATTTTTAGTTGAATTTTTTATGCTCCTTCCATCACACCCTAATTGTGAAACCATTGTACTCTTGTTTATTGGCAAAGACACAAAATAATTCCAAAGTGATTGCACTATGTTGAAGAGAAACCAAAGGTGAAAATACTAAGATAAACAGCTTTGTGGTAATCATCCACATCCAACCCTATTCCATTGAACTGTGTAAATTCACCAATTTCTGGGTTCTGGAATAAGCTGTCAGATACAAGAGTCCAATTGTGAATTTTTTGGTGGGAGTACTGTGGCCTGCAACAATACTTTCTTCACTCTCCTTAGTCCTCCTCACAATCCTTTGATATCTGTATGTTTAGTACAATTGCGAGTTCACCCACTACTCATTGAACCTGACCTGAACAAGCTTACTCCATCAAATAACGAGTTCACTCCTATCTTTTCCAGTCTGCCCCAAATTCTTCGGTTCCTATTCTTTCAACAGAAGTTATCCCTTTCCTAATGAAAAAGTAAGGGTAAACTTGGTATATACATCGTTCAACATAAGGGTGAAACCTCTTTAAATCATTGTTTCTCCTGCTTAACCCCATATTTCATTTGTTCCAAAAAACTTATGAACAGCACTTTTTGGTTGATTTTTCTATCTGTCAATCAGATGAAACAAAACTAAGTAACTTCCTTGTGGAACCTGTGTTAAAAAGTGAATTTCAGACCCGAAATAACTACATCAACAGCCTAATATATGGTTGAAGAAAGTTACCATGATGGAAATGTCTGATGATTTTTCAGCAATACTTTAATCAGTATTCCATGACATCTAACTATCATTTGACTTTTACTTCAATCCAAGTTGAATGTCTCACTTAACTAAAAATATACCTGAATGTTTAACCAAATATCAAACATCAATAAGTCTTAAAATATTCACTTGTTAATAATTTAACAGCAATATACAGCTCCATAAAATAATATACATTATAAAATTATACTTGTTTGAGCTATTAATTTCTTTATAAAATCTCTCATTCTCCTCTTAATTTTTACAGCTATAAATCATAGTCTTAAGTTGAACGCAATATGTTTGCAAATTTTGATCACACCTGCTGGACTGATTACCAGCTGGCATGATTCATAAAAAGAAATATGTCTAGCTAAGGTAATAATAACAAGAGGAACAACCATGCATTTTGCATGGTACAACACAACCAATAATGATCTTGTAACAATTCAAACTTAAACACACCAAGACAACTAACACTGTATCACAACTCTTGTAGCTTTGCAATTTTGGGGATTGCTAACATTCAAATTTGTTTAACTCTTTCCCTGTAGAAGGAACCACGGCCTTGGTTCTCCCTACAAATTTATAACACTGTTAAACAGTGAAGGAACCTCCTGCACTCACCAATGAGGGCATCAAATTATTACTTACTCTGCTGTTTAAGTATCACATAAGTGATGAGTGTTCTCCTCTAGGATTAGACTCAAAGTGAGGCCAAGCTCTTTAAATTTGCTTCAAAACACTGCTACATATACCCATGATCCTACAGTTTCAGCATACAACATGCTTCTCACAAGTTTAAACTACATAAGAAGCATGTAACATGACTAAAGGACCACAGTTACTAACCCAAAGTTAACACAGTTCTCAAGACATATACTCAGCATGTATAAAACCAGATGAACATTCAGTTTCCCACAAGAGGCAAGGTTAATGACTATCATGCCATCAGTGCATCCATTTTGAGCTTATTCGTCTAAGTTTCAAAACAAGCATGCATACTCTCCATACTGTTTTACACATATTTCATAAGGTGCTGACAACGAGAATTTGATTCAAAATGAAGAGCTTCTTAAGCTGGCAATCATTTCTTTTACTCTTGTAACCTTAATGTGTGATATTGTAAGGAGAAACTGTCACTCTTGAAGGTCAAAGGGTTAACATGACGGTTTAAATTGCATAGCCATTTTTACAGAATAATCACTCAAACAATTGAAATGTAGACTTTCTTTATAACAAGCCTGGTTTTGAAACTGAGACAAAGATAGCTCAGAATGGAATAATGCACAGAGGAAAAAAAACAGAGTACCAAAGCTAACATTTACACCATTTTCAACAAAACTTCAATTTCCCTCAAGTAGAGATTACCATGGCTAACAATTCTCTTAAGATGGTTACAGACTTAGAGATACATGAAAGAACTTGGAAAGAAGGGACTCTAAGCTGCAAAGACATTATTCACATTAACTAGACTAACTCAGTTCACTAAACCTCTGGAAACTGCTGCAGAGTCAAGTGAAATGGTGTTAACTCCAACCAGATTATCTTGAACACCAGCCATGCTAACACTTGAACTGACAGGCATGTGGTGTGGAGAACTAACAAGATTACTTTCCCCACCATTTTGAACCATGGTCGGCAATGGAGAATTCTGAAGAGATGGACTGCCTTGCTGAATATTAGAATACATGGGAGACAAGCTGCTTACAGAAACAGTTTCAACTTGTGATGACACAGTTGGTGCAATCATTGTTGGGTGTGTTGTGACTGCTGATGAACTTTCCGATGCTGACACTGTGGTGACATGGCTTGCTGAGGGAGGTAATGTGACAACAACCATTGTGGTTGGTGTCCCTGCGGGTTGTTGCAAAGTGACAGTACCTGGGATGACTGTGGTACCTTGGACATTAGGTATTGTTATAGCAGTTGGAAGGGCCACACCAGGAGGTACTGCCTGTATCTGGACAGCACCCTGCACCATAGCAGCTTGGACAGTCACTGGAGCTGGAGCTATTGGAATGGTGTTGAACTGGCTGGGAACGAGAGTGTCGGGCCAAAATCTCTGAGCAGGCCTACTCTGGATTTTAGACTTTTTGGCTTTAGGTCCTTCAGGATTGCTTGCATCCAACATTGGTTGTAAAATGCGACGTCTAGCATTTATGAACCTAAATAGAGAGATAACTTTGAATTAAACAATGAAACGGAGAAACGCTACCCGAAAATCCTCTTTAAAATGAAATAATTGTACGACAGTAAGATATATATTGCCCAGTGCATAATGAGTCCAGCGATAAGCTTACCAGTTGTTCACTTGAAGTATTGTTAGATTTGTTTGTGCCGCAATAGCCCTCTTTTCATCCTCTGTTGGATACGGATGCTGGTTAAAAAAAAAATGTCAAAAATGGGAAAAACAATTATTTCTTTCAAGAACTTTTTATTTTCTAAGACTCTTAATTGACTATCACAGTGAAACACTATAGGAAAATAATTTTGTAAACCAGTCAAGTCTCCATTGTGACCAGATTTCTTCTTGTTAACAGTAATATTTGCACCACACAAGGGTTTTAAGTTAAGTTTTGAAGCCATATCTAGAAGGAATTGCAACAAAACTAATTATCAAAATTAACTCACCACCAGATGTTGAAAAAGCCAGCTTTTCATAATGTTTGTCGCCTGCTTGGGTAACACTCCTCTCCTAGTTCTCTTTTTATCAGTGACCTCCGTTGGTGAGTCCAGGGCAGGGAGAGGAACACTGGAGGGGACTGTTATTTCTGTGGGAGATTCATCTCCGGAGGAATGTGTCTGCAGTCTGGGTGGTGTGACAGTCTCGACAGTTGGTGTGCTGACGTAAGTTACATTTGCTGGCACTGTGGTGTATGTTACAGTTGCTGGTACTGTGCTGTACGTGACTGTTGATGGCACGGTTGGCTGTTGGGGAACCTGTGCTATGACAATCTGTTGATTGGGTGCCACTCCTTGTGGAACATATGCAACAGTTGCAACTTGTTGTTGAACAGGAGAACCAATAACACTTGCTGTAGGAGTTGCATTTGCTATTGTGCACGGAGCCACTGCTGGGGTATAGTAAGTGATTTGTTGCTGTGGGAGAAATGTTGGTTGTTGTGCTTGGATTGGAGTGGTTGGCTGTTGTTGCACATTTGCATTTAACACGTTCACTGCAGGAGAGTATGCTGATTGAAGAGGGCTACGCAACAGGTTTTCACTCTGCATCTTCCCTTTCAGACAAGCTATGTACCTCTGGCAAAAATCTTTGCAAAGTTCATTTACTTTTTCCAGCTCTAGTAGGTGTATCCTGAGTACTTGAATAGCTTTCACCATCTGATGACAAGACAAAACAGACACATTTCATTGGTCGTCAACTTTCACTCCCAAGATCTCATTAACAAATTCTCCTCACTGCCTGACATACAATTCTCTTTTATGTTAGTTTGACGAATTTGGTATCACATCAACTGATAATCCCCTAGTTGATATTTTCTTTCTTTTTATCACTTGTCTGCCTGATATTGTAATCATTTTATAAAGAACAATTTTGTCTGGGTGATTCAAATTTTGTTGAAATGAGAAAACCTCCTTTGTTCATAACCATGTGTGCTGTATTTCAATCCCAACAATAAAATCTTGAAAGATATCAACAGAAAAATATCTGTTCTCTTGAACAATAAACTAAAGAGTAAGTAAAGGTTTTTTAAAACCAATAAAAACCTAACACACAAGTTTTTGATAGGTTTAGCACACACAAGCTGGCTTTATATCTCTAAACAAGGAGGAAATTAAGAAATTAACTTCCACCCCCACGTTCTGCTAATAACAAAATAAATCAGCTAAAATCTATAGAAATTTCAGACAATCATATCCTGAAAATTTAAATAAACATCCTGGGAGAACGAAAATGCTGTCATTTGCTTGGAGAAGTATGAAAGTAAAAAACATACATAAAAGATGAGGTCCGTGTTTGCTGAAAAATTTACATTGACAACAAAACAAATTCTAATTCTTAATAAATATTTACATATGTAAATAACAATTCATTGAAATTGCTTCCTTCACAAAAGTCGGCTAACTCTGAATGTAATACCCTTAGCGAGTTAATGTCAGCAGTAATATATAAAAAAATATCAAGACATTTTTATAATTTACCCATATAACAAATAACACCCAAATCTAGCTATCAGGAAAACATACAACAGGATTTAGGATGAAAACAGGAAATCTTCGATTAGAAGGAAAATGAAAAGTTTTCAACAAAAACGTCATACTTCTGCTTCGAGAAAGGGGTACTCGGAAATTCAGAAGCCTGAGGGAAAACAGGGTTTTTCGTGTTCTTAGAATAGAACGTTCTGTAATTGATTTCAATAGGTTCATGGATGATTCAGTATGAGATTTTCTTTCAGAACGCCATTAAAAGCTTACAGTTAATCTGGATTAAAATTTTCTTGTATCATTAGGAAGCAAAACGAAACGCCATTTATATTACCTGTACTGAAACACGCGAAAAGTGAGTGTTTTCATTGCAAAATCTATCCACCCGCCATTTACAATACATAGAAACATGGCGGGCACTTTCAACAACAAATGCGTATAAAAAATTTCGAAGAGCCCAAGACTGTGAAGCTTTCGATAGAACGACGCAATAATTTCAAGTCTGTTGATTACAACATTTGAAACATTTTGTAGCTCGAAGTTCAATCCATCAAGAGATTCACTGGTAGATAGCGAAGGTCTTCAATGTCATCTGTGACCCAAAACAAGTCTTGATTACTTTGAGATTTGTCAAAATTATGATCAACTCGTCTCAACAAACGAAAACCTTTGAGATTTAAATCTAACGAAGTAAAGAGTAAGCTTCGGCTTATTCTTACCAAGTTGTCGAGATCTCGATCTTCCGTATAGAAAGGCTTTCCTTCCCTGTTCATCTGTAAAATTCCATTCTTAATTTCGTTGTCGAATGCCGTGGCAGGCGTGCATTCACAGGTTTGAGTTGACTGCTCGCACTTTTCAAACAACTTCGCCAAAAGAGGCAATAAAGGATGGCGGTAGATTGCTTGCTTTTCCGCCTCCATGTTTGAAAGCTGTTGCAAGTCGACCGCTTGAACAGTTATCTGGGCTTCGTCGTAAGAAGGAGGGGGCATCTTGTCCGCTGGTGTCTGTTGGAGAGATATACCTCCATAATGAGCCGAAGTAGCAATGTTTTGGCCTTGAAGCATGTGACTGGTGGCCACTCGATTCGCAAGCCCTTCCATCAAAGGCTGCCTGTTCGAAAAGAGAAAAGACAACGTTATACTCGACTGGCATGTTGGCGATGAACGGACCCGGCTGGAAGACCAAATGAAATGATAATCGTTGTTCTGTTAATGTGTTTGTATGGGAGGTTGAAAGACTTACAATTGGTCACTATTAAAAAGAAATGCACGAGGCGATGGAACAGCGACGGTGTCACTCACTCGTCAACGTCAAAAACTCCTTTTGGCGCGGCCTTGCCTTGCCTGATTGACAGCGCCAACCGACGAATTTCTACATAATTACTATTGTCCCCATGCTAATTTATACGTGTCGCACACTGGGGAATAATTGATGCATGCATAATTAATGATTTGAATAATGCCTATGTTGGCTTTTGAGCCATGATGTGATTCAGCTGCCAAAACAACATCGTCGATATTCTTTTTACCGCTACATATTTTCTAAGATAAGTCACAACCGGAAACTTCACCTCAAACATAGATTTTTTTCCCCTGCTACAAGCTAAGAATTTAAAAAAAAAAAAAAAAATTGCCTTCGACCCCTAATGTGGGAGGTTCCAAGGAGTGTTATGAAAACAAAGGTTCAGAGAACGGGTGGTTTTGGTGATATGTGGCGCATTATTGGGGGCGTACTTGATTAATTATTGTATTTGCATTCCTTCATATCAGAGCCTGGAAGTTCAGAATTTCTCTACCTTTTCCCTCTTTGGCAACAATTCTTAGTATGGCATAAACTTCAGATGAACTGCAGTAAACATTTTTTATTTACGCTTAGTATATTTTTACACCTTACGCGAACTTCACGAGAAAGGGATTGTTAGAATTCGAAAAATTGCAGTTACACCACGCGATCAAGCGTTTGTTTTTAGTTACTTTGCGATAAGGGACATGGATTCAATAACTTTCCATTTTTCTGCTTGGAAAAATAATTAAAAGAAAAATGTGATTGTAGGCAAAGAGAATTTAATCAAAATACGTACTGAGGCTTCAAACGTTAATTCTTTGCGAACAAGATGTTCAAATACGTTGACCGGTGTTTAGTTCTACCATACCCTCAGAAAAAAACATCTTTACTATTTCAAATCATTTGCCGAGTTATTGAAATGTATTGGACCACTGCCACGTAATTTACGATAATCTTTAGTTACATTATTCAAGATCCACTGATTTCTTTCTTTCAATGGCCTTGTTTTTCCTCCCTGTTTACCAGATGTATGTTTATAAATGAATTAATCTTCAAATTACACGCCAGATTATTTTTACCTACCCCTCCCCGAAAGACAATTATAGGCCTATGCAAAACACGCACGCATCATTTGTTGAGGTGATTGACAGCAGATGAATAACTTACTTGACATTAATTTTCGATCAGAGTGAATGACACGAAACAAATTGTCGGTCAAAATTAGGAGAATAGACAGGACTAATAACAATACATAAAAGCCACCGACAGATAAAGCAAAATACTGTCAATTCTCGGCATGCAAATCAGTCCATCCGAGATATGTGATTGACAAGGTCTCGTAAATTCTGCAGAGATAATATTTGATTGGCATACACGTCAGCAATAGATGTTTAATTTCCTTTGCTCAAAAAGACCAAGAATTCGTTTTTATATCCGGTGCGTTCAATAACGGGTTCAAAATCTTCATCAGGGTAAAAAGCTGCCTGCTGGTGAAACATGTCAGAAACACAGACAAACTACAGTTTTGAAATTTTTCTCTTTAAAATTAAATTTTTTTCTTTAAATATATGTGTATTTTTTAGCCTTCACATTCGTACGAGAAATTTAAAAAAAATAATAATTTAAAGAGTTTCTCACAAATTTTTCTTTCTGTATGCTTCAACAACGAATTTGCCACGAACTAAAAAAATATACATTTTATCTTTTTTTCTTGAGATGAAATATTTATGATCCCAATCTGGATTAAATACCTGTTTAAGCAATATAATATATATATATATATAAGAAGAAAATGATCCCCATCGAACAAAGTTTTAAATGGAAAGAGAAAAAAAGAGTCTTCCTTTGAAGGTACAGTTTTATTTAGTATCACAAACTGTGAACGTACTAAGACCCTACCGACTAAACCAAGGATATCGCGGCGTCTGTGAATTTGTATTGTTTGTCATCTTTGTGATAATGGCTTTATGGAAATTGAACTTGACTACCTGAGCCGCCGATTAAGTGTCACAGTAACATACTGACTCACTGAAGGAAAAAAGAACCCAGGACTAACCACAGGGTCGAATGATCGCACGAACGAACATGTGAATAAATGAACCAACGAAAGGACCAACAAACGAGCTGACGAAGGAGCGAAAGAATAGACAAAAAAAACGAACGAAGGAAGAAAAAAAAAACATTGAATGGACGAATAAAATAACGAATGAATGAACAAAAGAACGAACGAACGAAAGAATGAGCGAATACACGAACAAATGAACGAATGAATGATAGGAGGAACAAATGCACGAACGTAAGAACGAACACTGGAATGAATCAATTAACGAACCAAGAAACGGATAAACGAACGAACGAATGAACGAATGAACGAATGCACGAACAAATGAACGAATGAATGATAAAAGGAACGAATGTACGAACGTAAGAACGAACACATCAATGAATCAACGGACGAAAAAACGAATAAACGTACGAATGAATGAATGAATGAATGAATGAACGAATGAATAAACGAACGAATGAACGAACGAACGAACGAACGAACGAACGAATGAACGAACTAACGAAGAAAGGAATGAATTACAAACCGAAAGAATGAATGACCGAACGATATTAGATATGTGAACAGGAATGGTAGGATTTGTTTACTGATATACCGACCAATCCTTCGCAGACAATCTACGTACAGGCTATGTAATAGACCCGTTCACTGGCTTTTAAAACAGTCCGTGCTTAAAGGTATTAAAGTGTTCTTAGAAAGTTAAAGGTCGAAAGTATTTCTTTGATTTTCGTGTTCTAGTAGATCTTGCATGTCTTCATCCAGATTTGCTGTCAATTCTTCCAAAAGAACATCCAATGCCTACGTGGAAAGAACAAACAATTCCTTTACCGTCTATCGCGAAATAAAATGTCTACCATGGAGAGTTTTTTTAGAAAAATTAAAGCATATTTGATTTTCTAAATAGGTACATTATGCTAGTATTAGCGTTATCACCAACATCACACCTCTTCAAATTATAAGTTGTTTCCTAGTGCCTACATCTGGGTCTCAATAAATATTGCTGAAAGCACTTACTACATCAAACAGCATTTTAAAGAATACTGCAGAAAATTTGCAGTTTTTTATTTACCACATCACAGAAAACCTCTTCATGAAATTCTTTTACAGCAGCGCTGCTTTGTGTCGCTTCCAGTTGATCATTCACGGCCAAATAATTACGGATCAGCAATCCACACAACATGCCTGTGATAAAAAATGAAACTGTAGTTTAACGATGGGATGTAATTATTTCTATTCTACTGGAAAAAAAAGAAAAAAATTGCAAAAAGGAAAGACGAGCAGTTTTCTGAGATTGTAGCTGGAAAATTAAAAAAAAACGTCAAAAAATTAATTATGAAGGTGATGACAGCACCAAAAATTTCTCCCAAGCATCAGGGATGGAACTAACGGCCGGTATTTGGACAATGTCCGGTCAAACACATGTTTCATCGAGTCAACTCTTAAGAGGACCAGACATTTTGTCCGGTTGTTTACGCATGTAAAGGAAAAGAATATAGTTCCGAGCTAGGTTTGGGTAATAAATATTTAAAGGGTTCTACATTATTGGCGTTCTTTTGATAAACAATTCATAACTTACAACAGTGGTGCACAGCTATAGATGATTTAAAATTTCCACGTTCCCATTCATCAATTTGTCATGGCAAATTTAAAGAGTCTTCCAATATTCAAAATCGTAACTATTGTCTAAAATGGGACCTTAGTGTCTAATCTCGGAAACAAGATTGCAAAAATGACCACTGGTGTTCACTAGTGTCTAAAATGAGACTGGACATAAAATTCGACGTCGGACACTTATGTTCAAAATTGGACTGTTCAAAATAAGAAATCGGACACTAGTGTCTAAAAAAAAAATAGACTCTAATGCTTAAAATCGGAAATCAGACACCAGTGTCTAAAATGTCAAATCACACTCTAGTATCTATAATCGGAAATCGTCTCCTTACCGTCTAAAGCCTGTTGTGCATAACCTCTGACGTGAAAGGACAGATTATCACCAGCTAACTGACTCAGAAGATGCTGAAGACACAGTGAGTCTAACAGGCGATCCTCTGCGTACACAGACAGCTGAAAAGACAAAACCAAGGAAAATCATTCTTACTCCTTTTTTACCTATGTTTTTCGCAGAACTTCATATAATTTCTTCAAATCTTTGTACGAGAGAAGTGGATCTTAATTGGACTTGTTAACCAAACATCACTGCATGGTCATCAAAATACCTAACGTGGCTTTCAGTTCAAAGTTGAGGACTGAAAGTGATTCAGGATTCTAATGCTTTTGTTTAACTAAGCTGAGTGATTGATCTAGAAAACTCACGTCACGCTCTGTGTGAAGTCTGGAAAACACGCGCCACGCTCCATGACTGGTTTAAAAGAAAAACTTACGCCATGCTCTGTGATTGGGCTAGAAAATTGCCCTATGGCCGATCGCACCTTTTGTCGAGATAAGTAGTCAACTTGTTTCTATTTTGATTGTTCATTGGTTCCTTCTGATATTTTCCATAGTTCTGATTGGCAGTTGTGAAATACTTTGATTTTGGTCATGCGACACTCTATCGAAATTGGTTCTACTACCAATAAAGTCATCATTTATAATCATAAAATATTGCAAAATATCTAGATCCATAGCGTTTCAACTGTGAATTCAAATTCGCGCTAAATGAAATGGGTATTATCTTAAGCTAACATTGGATCAAAATTAATACTTTTCACGATCTTTTCATGGTCATGACCACTGTAGTCTCTTCCAGAAAATACCAGCTTGCCAAGGACTTTGGCTGTGGATACAAGAAATATTGCAGTACCATTTCGGCTCGCAAGTTGCAAGGAGTTACCTTTTTCACTTGTTTCTCTCTGTCAACCTCCATCATTTCCCGCCAAACATCGATAACGATTTGTCTCAATTCAGACGTTATGACCTCATCGATAACTTCATCAAGTGGGTCATCATTTTGGAATCCATCCATGGCTTCAGAGACCTGAAGAGCGAATGAAAGTCAAATACCATATTGTTTCTTGTGGTATCTTAAGGCTTTTAAAGAACCAAGCTGCCTTTTAATTATCGTTCATCATAGTGTAACTTAAATTATTTAAGAAGGGAAAACTATAGTTTGTGTTAAAATTTGCTTAACCATTTTACCCTAAGATCAGTCTGCATACTCTCCAAACTGTTCTCTTTACATTTCCTAAGGTGCTGACAAGGAGAATTTATTTAACAATCAAGATATTCTTTGGTTGGTTATCATTTCCTTTATTCTCCTGCAGGATTCGGGGTGATATTGTAAGGAGAAATTGGATGCTAGTCACTCTTATGGGTTAAAGAGTAAAGTATACATGAAATTGTCTCCTTTTATGTTTCATATGGCAAACTCAATACCTACTGGCATCTTTAAACTGGATATCAAAGTCTGAAGACTTGTTCACAAGTTACCTGCCTAATCTAAAGCTAAATATCCTAAAATGTTCTTCATCAAGCTGAGTATCTTAGCATGATGAACCCCCAACATTATTAGTTATTATGATTTTTTCAGTGCTTATTTACTGGTGGTTGGGAAAGGGGTAAAAAGTAACTAGTCTTTCACAGTCAAGAACATAACACAGGGACCCCATACTGGACACAAAAAAATCCAGCCACTTGATTTGGAATTTAGCTTGCTCTCATTAAGAAACCACAGCTATATTGCTTCAATGTAGAACGAAAAAAAAAAACTTACTAATAAAAAGAAACAAACAAACAAACAAACAAGCAGACTCTTTGAAATTAATGTTCAAGTCCTGGATAATATTCTTACCACTACTGGGATCATTGGTTCAATTGTCTCCAATATGAAGTCCTCTAACCAATCACCAGCTTTGATAACAGCCATGTGACCCATGACCTTTTCCTCCACCACAGATCGCACAACTTGCCCAGCAAATTCCTGTACAACTTCACCTATGATACTATCACATGCTTTTACAGATGGATCTCTTCTGGAGTAAGCACTAAGCATAAAAAATTTAAATAAATAGGTAAATAAATATACATTTAAAAAAAGAAACTAGTACACATCCATGAAAACAAAAAGAGGACAGAAGAGATGAATTTTTTGCCCTGCAGTTCTTCCAAACAGATTCAAAAAGGATAGGATACTTTTAGCTGTTTTGAAAATTTCATGCTTTGACTTTTTTGTTCTCTTCAAATTCATTTATTCCCAAAGGTGTCTAAAACCTTTTTGAACATCATTGCACTGTACAGCAAATGCAAAAGGAATATTCAGTAACTGATTATCTAGGGAGTATTTAAACCTTTAAAACCCAAAGAGTGACCAGCATCTAATTTCTCCTTACGAGAATACTGCTAAATTGTTTATTAAGACCAGGAAAATAACCAAAATGATCACCAGTCTGAGGAGTCTTGACTGGGGGATTTGAAGTACTAATATTCTAACAAATTTCTGACAGCGCAGATATTCTGGCAACACACTTCTGCTGTCAAGGATATTTCGTACATAATTTTCAAATAATGGGAGAATTGAGATATCCAAAATTCAAGGGACTGTACTGTAGCACAGGTTGTAAAAATAACACTCACATTCCTTGATGAGCATAATAGACACCAAGGGCAACCTCATGAATAAAGGAAGTTACATCTTGATCAATGATCTCTTTGCAGACCCTCTCACTGGCTTTGTATCTAGGATCTTGCACAGACTGAAACAAAACTTACCATCAGCTAGCACTTGTTTTAAGTTAAGTTGTATAAAAGGGGTAACTATTCTTAAGAAACTGTGGTGCTGTGTCAGTTTGAGAGTATAACAGGGTAATTTAGCAATAACACCTGAGTCAATTATGTAAATTGGCCACTGTAAAGAGTTTCAAAGGTGACCTTTCGAGGGTTAGTCCTTCGTCTTTTGCACTTATGAAGGGGTAATGCTTGAAATGTCAGCTTTGAACTCTTTACAGTGGCCAATTTAAATTATCAACTCAGTTAATTTACTAATTTTCCATGACTAGTTTAGTTTCAGAGCCCATTGGAAATTTTTAATTTGATTATGTTTAATGTACTACCACTAAGAATAGTTTCTTATTGATAAGCTGCTTTTTAAGACTATTTGGATGTATGAGCCCGTACTCTGATAATTACAGTGCAAAATTATATTACTTTAAAATATCCTTGTAGTTTTGGTCTGATAATTTTTTATCCTTGCAACCCTAGAAAGTTGAGCATCCTCTGAAAATCTATAATGGTAATCAAGAAGTGTGCAGAGTTTTAAAATTATTCTAAAAAATTCTTAATATTGGAGATTCAAAGTAAGTCTCTTGAAAATTCATCAAAATTACAATAGGACAACAAAGTGATGGGACTTACCAAGAATTTCTTACCAACCAAAACATCAATCAAGACATCTGGAACAAATTCTTCAATTAGGAAGCTGTTAATCAAATCGTCTACAAATTTTCTCGAATATTTCCTATTACACATGTGGCGCCAGAGTGCAAATCGACGACCCTGCCAGAGCAAAAAATTGAAAACAAAAAACAAAAACAAAAATACTTGTTTAGTGTGTGGTGTTGATTAAAACATATCCCTGTCGACTTAAAGATAGTTTTTATACATTCAGTGAAGTTGTAATGCCTAGCCTAGTAGTTTTGTAGTTTTGTATATTATCATACATTAACTTTGTCCCTAGTGATCACAAGTGCCTAACCTTCCTGACTTGCCAGCCTCTGTGATATTTTTGGATGACAACTGCTGCTTGAGATCGGGATAACTGGTGAGGTGGTCTGAGAAGAAGAAAATTAAATTCGTTCAGAATGCAACAGACCTGAAACAAACCAGGTGGAGCATCTAAATTACACCTGTTTGATCATCTTATCCAAATGGGCTACAAAAGATCTAAACATCATCCAAAATGGACTGATCAGTGCAAATGAATTAGACTGTAATTGACTCTTCTGATACCTGGCTCCATCAATCCTGCCTATTATTCCATACAGCTAGTACTTTGATTTTATTTTTTTCAGTTTTGTAACTATATATAGGTTGGGCTAGGAAGAATACAGGTTGTTGTTATACGAGTCCCTGTAACCAAAAACAGTCCTTCCCAAACCTGCAGGGTAAGATCCAAGAATTTTTAATGAAGGTGGGGGAGTGGGGGAAAGTTCCAGGCTTTGATTGAGAAAACACAAAAGTTTTTTTTTTTCCTCAACACAGTAGCCCAACTGAATTAAGAAAGGTTGTAAGTTGGGTAAATATAAAATATTTCATATTGTGTAGTAATAATAATTTGTCATCCTGTTAATTAGTAAAAATTTTGGTGTCAGACTAGTAATAAAAAAAAAAAACACAGGTCTGATAAGAAGGAGGGTGCCAAAATACCTTGGAACCTCCCTGGTCACTGACCTGAATGATCACAGAATGATCAGAGACCTTAAATCTGTTATCATTGACATGTTGTATGTCTTATTTATGGTAAACATTGTTTAAAACCTGGGAATACAAGAGATTCTGATCCATCTACCGAGCTTTATGCATTACCTTTCAGCATGATGCGCATTAAAAAGACCACTGTTGACTCCATTAAAGCCTTGCTGGGGTACAATCCAAGGTGCATACCCAGGATGCACTGGAATCATGGGAACTGGGTACATCAAAGGGGGGTGAGGAGGGGGTGCCACAGGTGGATGGGGATAGTAAGATGGCAGAGCTGCATATGGATAACTGCTGCTTTGATCCTGAAAAGCCTGATTTTCTTTTCTTGAAATTTTCCTTTTGATTTGATCATCCCTGTTAGTGAAAGAAGAAAACAGAAATATATATCACTCTATAACTCTTTCCAGTGGGAACAGAAACTTACATAGAGTTGAAACATAAAGTTGTATTCAAATTCTGAATTTCTCAATTATAAGAGGATATTGTATTTGGAAATAAAGAGTTGACAAATCTTGTAACTACAGACAACACCTTGGTTTCCTGGGGAGTTTTATTACTCATTGAAAAAATTGCTTTAATTATTCTGAAAGAAGGAGCTCAAGAAATCCTGGATATCCAGACCCTGTTATCCTAAATTTGGACCATATTTGGTCCTTAAGCATTGTCTTTAATAAGTGCATCGCCCTTTCATAGCCAAAGATATCTAAATAAGAATCCTCGCCATGTTCAGTAACATGTACCTTCGGGATACACCATGTTGTTCCCCAGCAGGTAATGGAGGAATGACTTTCAGGTTTCCACGTTTCAAATCATGTTCATAATCTGAATCCACTGAGGCTGGCCGGTTTTCAAGTTTAGGGAGGTAAGCAGGGCTTCCAGGTTTCCTTGGAGGGACAAATTTCTCCCCTGTATAGGAATCTGCTGACCACGATCGATTTCTGTAGGTCTTGTCAAGTGCAGACCAGTCCCTGCCTCTTTCTCTGTCCCTTAGCCTAGCACAGAATGTATGCCGCGTTAGCAACTTCAAGGTTCTCTAACGCAAAGGAAATGCAGTAGGTATAATACAATTGCAGAGAAAGCAAAGTCATGCTCAAGGCCATAGCTAGATTTTTTATGGGGGAGGGGTGAAGCAAGAGCAGAAGGCACCCTCAGGAGCCCCCCTCTGAGCTTTGAAATTTTTTCAGGTTTCCCTCAACATATTTTTAAATTAAGAGTGGAGCTTAATTACCAAACATGTACTAAAAGGATTTCCAAACGGAGGATCTGTAAGCACAATGAAATATGGGACTGCGCGGAAATCTTGCCAGACTTAATAATAAACTTATCATGTTCCAGAAAATTTGAATCTTTACCTCTCTAACACGTTCTTTCGCGGATTTCCGTCAAATGCTGACATACTTTAACTGTCGTCGCCCAGGAAACATAATCCTCGCTGCACTCAAACAAGGAAGTTTCATTTCTCATCGAGTATTCCCTCAATAATGGTGACACAGATGGAAACTCTGCATCTTAATCTCACCTTTCATAAACAGAAATTTTTAAAAAGAAGAACGAGACGGAAATAATATTCCCTATTTGTTAAAGTTCCTTGAGCTTGCCTGCGTCGGCCATCTTGAATGTCGAGCTTGGCCCTAGACCCTCTCGCACAAGCGCAGCGCACGAGCTACTAAATTTACATTTTTTTACCACTATGATCTCAGAATAGCTATAGCATCTAAGGTGTATGATTTCCCATTCAAGAGCAAGAATATTAGTCAGAAATTTGGAAAACATCTTTCCAGTCTGATAAAACTTCAAAGTAACCCTGAGGCGAAAATAATTTTTTTCTTCTTCTTCTCTTTTGGATAAGAGTTTGTGTTTGGCGAAACTGCACTCTCCATCATTATCATATTTTTCCTAGACTGTCCGCTAAAAACAGACTTTTTCAGAGTTGCTTGATGAGGGTTGAATCGAGAACAAAGGAAAGTCAAAGGCTCTCGAATCATTTCCCCAATGTGGAAATTCATGGGGTAGGTAGAGGAGTGAATGTAGTAGTCTTGAAGGGTGGTGGGTGTGGCCACTTGAGGAAACGTACTTTCATACCAATTCTCAGATAATGACAAAGGGAGATTTCGAATTTGACTTTAACCTTTAAACCCTCACATCAGTGAATTTCTCCATACAGCTCCCTATACATCTGTTAAGGTGCTGACAAGGAGAATTTGTTTAACAATCAAGAGCTTTTTTAGTTGGTGATCATTTCCTTTATTCTCACAACCTAAATGTGTGATTTGGGGTGATTTGAGTTAGAGAAATTGGATGCCAGTCACTCACAGAGGTCAAAAGGTTAAAATGAAAATTACTCTATATGGACTAAAAAATCTTTAATGAAGTTGATTACAAGGAATATATATGCTCTCTTTTTACACTAACTTTTCATATTGTAGCATACTAAATAAAAATAAAATCTCAATAACTCATTTCCATTTCAACTTACATCCCAAAAATACAATTTATGTTTATATCAAAGATGTGTTGACAGTAATACAATTCATAAATTACATTAAAGAGAAAATGATTGAGCAGAAAAAAATGCTCGCAAATAATCTGTTTTTTTGCCTCAGTTATAAGTGGGGACAAATGTTTTAAATAATGGTGGCTGTATGCTCAGGTGACATCTTGCATAACGAGCCATACATCACTTATTGGAAACATAAATAAATCGTGTCTAATATTTTCAAGCAAATGCATGTCAATTGAATGAACAGTATTTTATCTATAATAATTTCAATACCTTAAGTAAGAATTTTGTATTCCCTATGCCAAAATAATGCTACCACTGTGATCATTACAGTGTGCCAAAGATATTATCATTTTTCAATCTTAGTTCTTAAGCTCATAAAGAAGTTTAAATGAGAGGCATTGATCGATGACCGCTGTCTAATATCAATAAATAAAGTATAATTGTCTCATATACCCTCATTGAATTGATTTTAATATACTTTACTGACTCGAGATCTAAATAATTTCTTTTTCATATTTCTTTTAAAACCCAATTAAGGCTGGGAAAGGGAGCTAGGCCTCTCTCTAGAGTAAATATCTTGGATTGGGCTGGCTTGAGATCTATGATATCAAAGGAAGTTGAACATGTCTGTTACATGTTTAAATGGTGTGATTTGGCGATGTGCATTCGTACATTGGACACATGTTAACAAGCAGACATACACTAGACACGTGCAGCTGTGCAAAGTGTGCTCAGTTCCTCTACCAAAGTCTCGTGACGGAACGCAACCCGAATATCCGGAACATTGGTCTTCGTTACATCATTTCCAGCAGGTCCTTCTTTGCCATAGTTATCACCAATCCAGTGACGTTTCACCTGTCAAAACATTTCACCTGTGATGAGTTTACATTGTTGTGTGCCAAACGTAAGTGAAAATCTGGCTCAGGTGGTTTAAAATTGGTGGTCAAAAAAAACATTTAATCTCTAGTTTTGCTGAACTGGGACCAGTGAGTGGCAGAGTGGACAGCTTGAACCAAGGACCGCCATATTATAAGACCAGCACCCTAACCTCTTTGTCACACTACTTCCCCTTGAGTCCAAGAACATAAATTGGGGGCATTCTGAAGTTTTTGCACAGTTTGGTACCCTTCAAACCTCTGTTTCTATTTTCATACAATTACCTTGCAATTGCGATTGTAACACGTTATTAATCATTCAAGGCAAAATTCTCCAAAAAGTCTCTCAAGTCAGAGAAACATCTTACCTTATTTTCAAAGCCACTCATAACCACACTGTTTCTAGCCAGTTCTGACATGTCACATGGACTGAGTTTCCAAACCTGAGCTGCAATGCTGTACTCTTCCATCAGTGGTTCCTATCAATTTAAAATGGAAATTAAAAGGATCAGTTTCTTCTCAGAATACTAAGTAAACACATAGCCCAGCACAGGTGAATAAAATATACCCATCAATCACCTTGATGAGAGAGTCTGATGTGACACTAAATTCTCATGACTGAAATTAAGAGGACTGTTGTTGACCAGGTAAAAGAATGGATATTCTGAGTTTCAATGTCTAGTTTGCTACAAGTAGGATCTGTCACAAGTTTGGAAATTCAGGCTGCCATACAGATATGTCTTGGATAGCCAATTATTTTTTAACGATCAAACAGTTTCTTCTCTAGCATAAATCTCAAGGTCCAAGGGTCATATGTACAAGTGTACTCCTCAATGGCAACCAGATAGACTAAAAACCTGGAGACTAAAACATACAGCATCAAAATTCAAACTACCTTTGTAAAATGAAACATGAGGGGATCATCTGTTGACAATGATACCATCAGGCCGCGACCCAGGAAATCTGGAAGAGGATTCCTCTGATAGTTAAGGAAGAGAGAGTTGTTGCTCAGGGGAGACATGGCAATTCCAATCTGAGCCAGGTAGTAGAGGTACTGCAGGGCTGGTACCTGTAAATAAAACAAAATGAACATCCATGAAACCAAAACAGTCCGTCTTTTAACTACCTTGGGCTGATTGTAAAAACAAAATTCTAAATAAACTCTGCAAAAACCAAACAAAAAGACTGCTTGCAAACTCTACAGATGCCGCTGAGAGATCTCACAGGCAGCAGTTGACCACCAGTAACTGGTTTTTATAGAAACCCCTAAAGATACATAACTAATACTCGTGGACAAAAGAGACACTGTAGGAGTACAGTATTGTGCTGAACAACACAACACAATGACCTGATCAAGTGTTGAACTTTCCCTAATGGGTTGGCTATTGAGGCACCCCTTCTCCCATACACAAACTCAGACTTTGGTTCATAATTTAATAAAATTTGTGAAACAGCAAACCTTTCTAAGAAGAAGACCATGAGAGATGTTCTCAGCCAACATGAACGCTGATACCAAATGATGGGCAGGACCAGCCTCTCCACAATGAGGTCGCAAAACAAATGTGTTAAAACCACGCTCCCTGTGAAAAGCAAACAAAGGAGTTCAAACTTACTTTGATTAAAAAAATGATTTTTATTACCAATAACCCTTCAAACTTAAAGATTGACCATCACTTAATTTCTCCTTACAGTAATAATGCTGACTCTTTATTAAGATCACAAGAATAAAGGATATCATTGCCAACCTAAGAAGTTTTGATTGTCAAACAAATTCTCCTTGTCAATAACAAAGAAAGTGTACAGAGCAGAGTATGGAGAATATGAATACTGATCTTAGGGTGTAAAGGGTTAATAACAAGGATGAGACCTACTTTCGTAAGTGGTTTAGCACCACTATGTTGGAATACATGTAGTAGAGGTAATATGCATAGGGTGGGTTGTCTGTGTTGTTCCAGTCGGCAGGCAAAGGGCTTTTGGTTGAAAACAAATGACTTTCAGCTTTGCTTTCATCATCCACACTGTCAAAGCCAAGAACCTGTTGACAATGAAGTAGAAATCAAAACAGTGATCTTCTCATAGAATTCGCAGCTAAGAAATATTAAAAAGAGAGACCTTAGAAAATTAGATGGTGTCAATAGTTGGTTATCTTTTATCTGTCTTACAACATATCCACATCTTTCCTTGATTTTTTTTTTTAATTTCACCAAGTTTTCTCTCGTTTTTTCCCTCTTGTTGCTCTGCTAATGCAAACCTTTGTTAGCATCTTTATAACTGTATGAACAGCAGGCAGATACACAAGTAAAGCTCTTGCTTTACTGTTATACAAAAAATATATTTTAATATATCAAGAGAAATATTGTACTATGAAGACCTTTAAGTTGATAAGGCAAAAAACAAAACTGTAGTCAGGAACAATATTTGCTCTCACATCCTAATTACCAAATGAATACAAATCTCTCATCACAACACACGAAAGTTCCCCAGAATGTTCCAAATATTCATACTTCATCATGTTACAGTTGAAAGTAAACACTATATGGGATAGAGAACTTAACAATGAGCACAGAAAGCCCATTTATTTCTGAAGACAGCTAAATATGAGTTGCTCTTGACTAATACCTGAGTAAGAAATTTGTGAAGGTCTGGGTGTGCTTGTGGATTGACTGTGGCCTCAAATAAGGGATGGAAGATGTTCTCTAACATCTCTTGGAAATTGTTCACAATGTTCTTTGATCGATAGATATCACTAAAATGAAAAAGACAAAACAGAATACAGTCAAATTCAATGATTAGATTAGACTTTATATTAATTATCAAGTGTCATCAGATCAAAGCCAAAATACATGTAATCACCACAGCCAATCATAACAGGGGAAAACACCAGAAAGGGTCAATGAGAACTCAGAGCAGACAATCATCATTGGCTTATAGTGCAAGAAAAACTGAGGGACCAAGTTGCACTTTAATACAGCATTTGACTGGATTGATTTTCTAGCCCAATTGCAAGAGTAAGGTGATGCAAAGCTAATGGAATTCTTGATTTCTTTCAATAACCAGTTGAAAATTGCTCTTTGAATAGTATTTTGCTTTTTTGGGAGGCCAACTCATTTTAACTCAACTAGGTTTTGTTGTTCTGAAAAAAAAATACTGTAATGAAATTGATTTGAAAAAGGCTTCTGATGATATTCTAGACAGAAGTGTATATTGTGGATCATACTATTAGTTAAAATAACACTACTCACTACAGTC